ACGTACATTTAAATGCGTAATCTTACATTCTTACATTAAGGAACGAAGACTTTACTGCTTCAACTGAATCAGTCATTTCACGAAACAAATAAAACATTTCCCTAGATGATGTACCGAAGGTGTATTTGTTCAGAATCGCCGGGAAACAGCTGGTGAAAACATTTCCTAGTATCCTATAGATCGCATTTATAATGATTCCATTTCGCAATTTATCGGTATTGTAAAATGTGTTTACGAAATCCATGCGTAAGTAGTTTCGAAAGAGGTCCCATTCACGTAGCCAAAAGTTGCAAAACAGTCAAGCACATCTCTCTATAAGAATTCGACAACTTCCACTAAACCACACAAAGCTAGCCTACATTGTGACCTGCTTCCAACAAAGAGCAGCTGAAGACTAAAACGACCGTGTTTGCCGTGACGTACCGTGACCAAATGAGTAACACAACGCCATCGACAACGCCATCGCCACGTAAGACTATAGAGTAATGAAAAAAATATGTTTTAAGCGCCGAATAAAGTACGATACTAGTGCTTATACAAGTGCAAATATACAAGTGCAATTTCATTCAAAAAAAAAAATTATACGAGCCTGGTACTTATAACACAAGGCTGAGTTCAATGCAATTTCATTAAGAAAAAAATACATGTTTTAGTATGTGCAGAATAGAGTACGAGACTACTACTAAAAAAGACAAGGCTGAGTTCAGTGAAATTTCATTGAAAAAAATACATGTTTTAATGTGTGCCGAATAGAGTACGAGACTAGTGCTTATAAGACAAGGCTGGCTTCAGTGCAATTTCATTAAAAAAATTCGTGTTTTAGTGCGTGCCGAATAGAGTGCGAGACTAGTGCTTATAAGACAAGGTTGAGTTTAGTAAAATTTCATTGAAAAAATGCATGTTTTAGTGCGAGTCGAATAGAGTACGAGACTAGTACTTATGAAACAAGGCTGAGTTCAGTGCAATTTTATTGAAAAACTAGACGTCTTAGTGCGTGCCGAATAGAGTGCGAGACTAGTACTTATAAGAGCAGGCTGAGTTCAGTGCAATTTCATTAAAAGAAATACATGTTTTAGGGCGTGCCGAATAGAGTGCGAGACTACTACTTGCAAGAAGAAGCTGTGTTTAGTGCAATTTAAGTACAAGCTGATTATTCCAACGGTATTGAAATCCTTCGGAAGTCTGTAAGACTTACAAGAGATTCGTTTCTCATGGTTGTTGCAGGAACTGTGGCCCCTCTCCGTTTGCTGGACCAATATGGTCTAAATGCTGGCATAGTTTTTACGATGGCGTCAAATTTTTGCCCATTTTACGTGAACGTAAAAGTAGAAAACCCGACTCCGTTAATGACTCAATGTGACAGGTATTGCGTGAATTTTTCTCCAAGCATCGTAACCGACTTTTTTGGAAAGCATAACAAGTAAACCTCGTTACAGGGTGGATGAAGAAGGTGAAGCGCCGACTATTTTTCATTTGTTATACACTAGTAACGGTGTTTCTATTCCAAATCGATGTCTGGTGGTTGTTTCTAGGGGTAAAGTGCTGGATATTCTTCGTGACATTCATCGTGGGTCATCTGAAGGCGGTTGTCAAGTGGTTGGTGTGAATAGCCTCGTTAAGCAGTTTTCTCTTAAATTCTTTTGCAATGGTATAAAAGCACTGGCCAAAGAATTCTTGAAATCATGTCCTGACTGCCAATTGCATAAGCCGTTTCCAACTATTGCCCCTCCACCTCGTCCAATTGGAACTTTTGGGCCTTTCGAGAGATTGCAAGCGGATATCATTGACATGGCTCCAGGCAAAAAGCGGTCGTTCATGACAAATAACAGGGGCCAGTATCGCTATATCTTAGTCATCAAAGACTACTTTTCTAAGTTTTGCTGGCTATTTCCAACTTAAAACAAAATCCGCAAACGAAGTCCATTCCATTATGCACAATTTCAATCTACTATGACGTAGGTGCTCCAAAATATTTACAGACGGACAATGGGAAGGAATTTATAGCTGAAGTCATCCAAAATTTCAGTAAATCGTTTGGGGTGAAGATTATCCATGGACGCCCATACCACCCGGAGAGTCAAGGGCAGGTGGAAAATTTGAACAAACTTGTAAAAAAGACGATAGCAGAACACATTTAATAATAATAATAATAATAATAATAATAATAATAATAATAATAATTTTGATTAGCGAAAAAACTGAGTAACGACGTTTCGGTGTCATCTTGGCACCATTTTCAAGTTAAAAAATATTTGTGCGAAAAGTAAACTAATTTATACCAATGGTAGAGG